GATTCAGGTTAGATGATCCAATTATTAAGGTTGATTTCTTTAGAGCAGGTAGTTTCCATAATGATTTGTCCTTGGTTTGGTGATAATACGGTTTGGTAGCGGATATAATGGTCGTCGACGGTGTGATTGGTACTGGTTTGGTAGTTGTTAGAATTGTAGCTTTGGGAACGGACTGGGATCTGGTTCGAGGAGGGGAAGGTCTGGATACATGTCTCGACTTGGATGGAGACTGAGGGGTGGTTTGCTGGTCCAAAAACGCACAGAAGGAAGAAAGGTTGGCGGATCCTGGATCACGTGGTGAAGATTCAGATGGTGTGGAAGGGGAAGACGAGTCTGAAAGTGAAAAGAGAAGGGGTGTGCCCTCTCTACGAGAGCGTTTACCTATGTCTGCAGGACTAGGAGTAGGTGAACTTCGGGCTCGTTTAGGGGTTTGGTTCGGCAGCGTGGTAGCTCTAGATGGTGCAGGTGTAGTGTCCATTTCAGTTGGTAGAGATATGGTTACTCTGGTTTTTGTTTCGTTGATTGTTTGGTAGAATTTGGAAATTACAGCTTGAGTGAGACGTTTCCCATAGGAGCGACGGGCCCAGGACAGGGCATGAGAAACGATGCGGTCGACGGCAGGTGATGATAAAGACTTGGTACGAATGGTGGTCAGCTTCTCTTGAAGTGTGGTTTGGTAATGGTCGATCAAGACCTGCGTAACCTTACAGAGCCATGTCCGATTGAGGGATCTAATATTCGCGTCGACAGCTGATGTTTTCATTGCTGGGCGGATAAAACTATCCAACTCAGAGACTTTGCGTTTGAAGGTAAACGCTGGTTGGCCTTGCTGTTGAAGGGTAAGGATTGCCAAATGATGGAGGCACTGCAAAACTTGGAAGAACACCTTCACAAAGGGTTCTTCCTCCTTATGAGTGGGGACTGGTTGGCGTCGGTGGGCTGGTAGTCGTTTCTGTTGTTGGTCAGGTCGATGGTTACCTCTTGATTGGTAGGCTGTGTTGTAGGTAGGTCGGCGATGGGGTGGGATATAGCTGGATGGGTTGGTTGGTGGTCGGCGATTGGTAGGTGGTAGAGGTCGATGGAAGACAGGGCCGTTGTAGGGTACGTGATATTGGTTTGGTTGACGATTAGTGTTTCTATTTCTGGCTTCTTGCCAGTGGTTGTTGTAGTTGGGGAGCATAATGAAAATAACTTGGGGTTAGAAGGGAGCGTGAAAATGTTGGGATCAAATTATGCAAATAAGTCAAACTGGGTTTGGGGATATATAAAGCAAGATGAAAAATGCAAAAAAATATATATTTAGGTGATAAATAACGCTAACAATGATGTGAAAAATTATAACAAGTAAAACAAAAACTTACGCAATTGACAATATTGAATTCGAAGGTAATTTGAATTAAGAAATAATAGTCAAGTTGATTTCAACGTAGAAAATTCTTTGAATACTTTATTAGGATTTGATAAACAAATATACACGCAATCCACTTTAGCACCACACAAAGCTAATATCGAGAATGATATCGATGTGATAAATATACATTGTAATTTGATAAACGGTGGATTTTTCAATAAATACAAACGACAAATTATTTACAGTCTTCCAACATTCACTGTACCGATAGGATATAGAATTATAGAGAAACCATTTCAAACGACATATTTACCACTTAATTCCTTTATGATTAAAGATATAAATCTGGAAATCAAAGATGGTAAAAATAGGTTTATAGATTTTGGTAACGAGGAAATTGTTATTCAACTTCATTTAAAACAAAAAAATTAACACTCTTCATTTTCTTCTTGAATAGTAAGGTAATCAAAATCATCAAATTCGTAGTCTTCATCCAAACTCAAGTCATCTTTGTTGTTGTAAGGATACATAATTCCTTCACTGTTTTGGTGGTTTTCTTTTAACATTAATCAAATAACTTCTAAAAACTTTCTTTTGTTTATCATCATCCTTTGGAATAACTACTCCATTGGTGAAAATTTTTTTCCCATCGTTTCTTAAATTCATTCGTCACATCATGTCCACAAACTAATCGAATATAATCTTCTACAGCTATCTTATCATTAGAGTAACCCTAAAACGTTTTCTTTTCTTTTAGAGTACCGTCGGAATAATATTATATTTAACTTTTGGCGCTAAATAAAAATCAAATGTGATTCCACCATCACCGTAATCAATCATTCTTTCCTTCACAATAATCATTTTCGAACACCAACCCACCTTCAGTTAATTTATCCCAATTGATAGACGAAATGTATAAACTATCAGTATCTGTATAGTATATTTCCGACTTATAAAATCCATCTATTACGTGAATAAAATTATTCATTAATTTTTTACTGTGAGATAATACGAATGACCCCAAATGACTAGGTGTTAGTCGTGTAGATTTAGGAGGTGTACAGTCAAATTCTTTTTCTTCTTCATTTATCTCAACGATATATTGAGTTTCATTTACTTTAGGAAAGCTTTTGACGTGTGAATCGAAGTTGGTTTTTAAAGTTGCTTCACCCCATAGATGTCTCGATGTAGTTATATCATTCTGAATAGATTTAACATACAATGAATTACCTAATAATTTCATGCAATGACTACCTACGACATTACCTTCTCGTTTATATTTATTTCTAAGATCTCTCAAAATTAAAATATAATCTCTATATGGTGGAGTTTTAAAATTTTCTTCGTATGCTATACCATCCAATATCCTGAGTATTTTACCACCGGCTTTAACTATTTCTTGAAAACATCAACCGATGTTAAAACGTCTGAACAGAAACCATTTCTGAACCTGATTTTAGTGTCAGTTTCCTTATTACATTCTTTGCTCGTAAACGTAATTTTATCTTTAGCTGGTATGGGTTGGAAGAGCATGTTGGTAGGATATTTAAACCAGACATTTAAAATAGCAGTTCTAGGTCTAAATGTCTGCTCATTAAAGAGCTTAACAAATTCTTCTTCTTCTTTTTTCGTTTGAAAGGCTCTCGCAATTTCCGCTTCAGGATATTCGCTGTCTAAATCCGACATGGCGGAAGCGTATAAACCGTTAGCATCAAAGGCCATTAGTTTAGTACATTTTATTTTTTTTTAGTTTTGAATTAACTTCCGTTTTATCTTTTTTACTTTTACTATATTCTTTAAATAAATCAATTATATTATCACTTGGTGTTTCACTGTATACCTTTAATATATTGCAAATTTCATCCATTTTATTCGTTTGAAATGATTTTCGATTTGCCCAAACTCTTCCTTCTGATGGATTGTCTGATAAAATATCTTATAAAAGGGTGTGTATTTGAGTAAACCGTCGGAACCGTTCTTGTACTTTCATACCATTCTTCTTCAACCATTTCTTTATTGTAATGATATAAATAATACCAACCCTTTAAAGATAAAGGAGCCGTTAGATTATTGGAAATATTCTGGAATACAACTTCTTTCATAACTTTGTTATATTTTATCAAACAAGCTCCGAGACATAACGTATCTCTTTTAGCGTAAGGTTCCCATTCGTGTCTTAAAGATTCCCAATTATCTTTGGTGTATTTTGCAATATTGATATCGGTCATCTTTCTAAAATTCATCGGTAGATTCCTAAACGTTGTAACATTTGATCGATGCAATCTTTACCTACAAATATTTCTACTATATTCATTAATTTATTATAAAATTCTTCTGGTACACTATCAGTGGGATTTAAATGTGGAAAGTTATGTTTTATTCTGTCTAACATTTTTCTTAGTTTTTCTAAATTAATTAACGTGCAAGAATAAGGAATGGCTTTATTCGTTTATTTTCCGCTATAGGTTTCGCAATCCCATGCGTATAAACAATCATCGTGAATTGTTGGAAAAACGTTTAGTTTTAGAGGTGAAACTTCTGTTACCGCATTATCATCTTTACAAGTTCTCCATACGTTTTCATCGTAATTATCTTCTATTTCTTTAATACCTAAGGTTTTGTTAATTCTTCTAATGAGACAAATGCGATTTAATTAGTATTAGGTTTCTTATTGAATTCACAGATTCTAGCAGTTGTCATAACTCATTTTCTGTTTGATTTTGAAAAACTGTTGATGAAATCTTGAAATTCTTTTGTCTAGTCTTTGTTCAAAACATAATTTACGCACTTTACAAAGCGGTATCCATCGCTTGGTATATAACAATTTATACCCTCACTATATTCATTTATCTTTTTGAGTAGGGTAACACCACAACGCTTTTTTGATCTTTTTATTTCTTTGAAATTGTTTCTACGTAAAATGAATTTTCCTGAGAAATAACAATCAGAAGCATCCGATTTTACATCCACAGTTGCGAAGAAATTGCGAAAAGTTTTGGCATTAAAGCCTATAAATTCCATTCTTTGCTTGTGTCCTCCATCTTGAATTATCTCTCCATCTAATTCAATTTGCCCTTTAAATGTTTTAAATTTATCAGAGACAAGGTTAATAATACTAGAAAAAAGTTCATATGATATGAATGTTCCATCGTCTAAAATTTCAATTTTATTCATATTTTTTCAGCAACTAATTTTAACTAGGAATTTTTAACTTTTATTGATGATATTTCTACATCAAATTTATCTAAAATTTCATTGAATTTTTCTAATTCTTCAATGGTTATGTTCTTATCTTCTCTCGATCTTTCGAAAAAAATGAATAATTTATTAAGATATGTATTTAAAATTTCTGTTTTCTTTTTATAATGAGCTTTCTGTTTTGATGTAAAACCTAAAGTAATCAATCCACAAGATGAAGTTTGAACGGCAGTGAACGCGGCTAATACAGTTTGGACAATTATTGGAAGCATTAATCCACCGGTTACGGCTGTTGCCACCGTTATCCCTACTGTTAGAACTGTGCTTAATGTTTTGAAAACAGAATCAATTCTACTCCATGTTTTTCTACATTTGTTGAATTGTTTTAGTTTTTCTTTCAGTTCGTTTTGTTTTTCTATCATGTAGTTTTGTCTGCTTTCTAGTTCCAATTTTAGGTAATTGAATTAAGTGAACTTCTGATAAAGCTGCTACGTGATTACTATCATCCATAACAACTTTTACAGATACTTTTACGGATATTTGTTCTTTCGAATCATTAATCTTATTCAAATGAACTGAAAATTTTGGTTTTTTTATAGAGATTGATATATTAACATATGCATCATCATCTCTTATTGTTGGTATCAAACATTTTGGTTTTTGTTGACTTATGAATATCAATAGAGTTAAATATATCACTATAAACAAAATATAGTTTTACGTATTCATAGTCTGTCGTTCGTAAAAAACCCATAACNTGCTGCTCTT